ACTCGTCCTGCTTTAATTCTTACTCGTTCTACACTTTTAAGTTATTTACAATATTGTAAATGCTGTGGAAAAGCAGGACTAGTAATTCAGCAGAATACTAAGAAGCTGACTAAAAAACAAAGAATACAAAATTTTTATTTTTTGTAACTATTAAACCATGAACATGTGTCTAGTCTACATAGAGTCAACAATTTTTAATTATGTAAATTTTTTTCGTTGCTTAATCTTCATTTTGATGCTACCTGAAAAATCTTCAGTATTTAGTTTTAACTACATGTATAACTTAAACTCATTTCTAGATGTTTGACACTTCCCACTAGGACCAGAGGATATGTGGTCTTTAGTGTGTCTTATTTCTTTGCCACTGATTAACCATTTCACATTGAAGTTTGTTGGATTATAACCTTCCATCTATCATGATTCTTATCAGAACAGACAAAGTTTCTTGGTTTAGAGATATCCTTGTCCATGTTTTAATGTTTCTAAATTGGCTAAATCTCTTTTCATATTCTGCTGTTGATGGGAAAAATTGTCAACATTCAATCTCATCAACGAAGATGCTTTAATATGAATCTACGACAGGTCTGGTGAGATTTCTATTGATGACATTTTCTAGTCCAATCACTCTACTAAAGTTTATTCCTTTTCTTCTGGACAATATAAATATAGTCTTAATAATTTCTCAGTTTTTTCATATCTGTAACCTTTGAACTCCTGGGGACTGTTATCCTTACTTGGCCAAAGATGAAAATTGAGTACGTTGAACAGAGTGTTGTTTTTCTCCAAGGTCTTTCATAAATATCTCTTCCAGTGCCAGCATCTACTTGCTCCAAAATAGGAAATGAAAAACTACCGCAGTGGTTTACTGCATTGCACATAATTTAAAGCTAACAGTTTTGATGAAAAAAGAAAAAGAGTTGTGGGATATCAATCCAAATTTGAGGATGTTTTGAAAGATGTATTCAAGCTGTATTATTATTATTTGCTAAAACAACAAGAGAACTTTATGAAACTGCAGTTTCATTGGATCAAGAATTAAAGAAATATGGTAGTGTTCAACAAGAATACTGTGTCGCAAGCAAGAGCAGAGCACTGAAAGTCCTTGACAACTATTAGTTACCACTCACACATCTGCAGGACATCGCTACCACAGGGGAAGATGTCAATGCACTGGACAGACTTGCAATCTGAAGTTTCAGTTGTTTTCCAGCAGAATGTGAATAACCTGAAGGAAAGCTTTGTCAACATGAGAATAACACAAGGCAAAATGATGAAAAAAAAATTCTGAGTGAAATTAAAAATTGTGAATTTAGAGGAGTTGAAATGACTAAGCTCTGACAAAGAAGACACCATAACACAACCTTCTAAATATTCGTTTACGGTGCCCATAAATAACTTCACAGCACCTGACATTTTTCCCAAGATTCATGGATGTTCCATCTGTATTTATTCTGACAAGCTTTTCACCAACACTTTCTAGTGTGATTTCGACAGATTCAAGCCACCTTTTACTGGTGCTGCGTGTCCATGATCAAGTGCCGATACATCAGCTAAGTTGGTTTTTAGTTCACCATTTTGTTCCTTTTTCAGTTGATTCACCCGTAAGGATACCAATAAATATTCTGTTGTTTCGTCTTTCAAAATCACTGAAGTGAATTTAAAAAATTCCTTACGTGCCTTTTATTCAACTAGTTCGTCTCTACTTCAACATCATTTTATACTTTGTAGAGCAATAATCTTTGAAACTTCCTAGTTGTCTGTTGCTACATGGTAAGCTGTGTACCTTTGGGTTTGTCCAGAACACTTCTACATTTAAAACACTTTGTGTTTGTCAGTCTTATTGTGACACATCAAAGTTTCTTTTACGTATCTCACACACTTATGTCTTTAATTAGGGATGAGTCTGTATCTGAAAACTCTCGAAATTGTCTACAAGCTTGACAGAACTACTCATTGGGCTGAAATTTTGCCCAGTGAAATTATTCCAACCAACTTTCTTTAACTAATCTTTTCCTTTTGTTATCTTACCTTGTCTTTTTTTGTTTTTATTCACTATTGCCACCACCATGAAAATGTTTTTGAATGTCTTGACATTTTTATAGTAGATGACAGTATGAAACTTCAATCATACGTCGGGTTACATCTAAAAATGCTTTTTGTTTACTCTAGAAAATAACCAATAACTATGACTAGTTTGACACTTGGTTCACACCTATTTTATCATCGTATACAGCATTACCAAGAGCAACAGCTATGCTCACCAAGCAAAACATCTGGTTTCATTTTGAAGTAATGTTTCATAAGTTTCTGGCTTTGTTTTCCTGACCGTTTAACATTTTTACACTCATTGTTTACTTGAGTGCATATTCTTACACTCAACTTGATATATTTCTTGTGGAAAAAATGCACTTATCCTGTCAAACAATATCAGTAAAAAATCATTCATAAAAAAATGAGCAGTCCAGTGGAATTTTCCTAATTTTAAACAATGCTTTTAGTTTGATTTTATTGCTGCTTTGTAGTAAAACATCTATCTAACCAGGCAGGAAATTAGTATAATTAACTTGAAAGAACTAACCTAAAGATTAACTCATTTAACACTGTTACCAGTATGCAGTTAAGACTCTTAACTGACAGCTTCTAAAGATGGGACAACTGTATTCCATTCACCTCAATTTGTTGTAGTAATCTACTAAATCCAGTCATATATGATGTCTCAGAATAGAAACTGTGAGATGATTGTTTCATTAAATTAGTTATTTAACAGCAGTTTCAAGTTTGTATAACATTTGATATTATTCCCAAGAAATGGAAGGAATAAATATTTAAGGGTATTTTTTCTTACAACAGCATTTTTTTTTATGCAGTCGTAATGGTCATAATTGAAATTTTCAGTTGAAATGATCAGATCAATATAGATTTGAGGAGAACATTTAGTGGTGGTTGGTTATGGGTAGGTGTATGTTTAGCAGTCCCCAAACTTCAGGCCAATTTTCTTTGGATTTACGAGTGGTCTGAGCACAAAACAGTGTTGACTAAAATGACAATTAGACATTTGATGTATATCTGTTTATTTAATTTTTGTCAGGTTGAATGAGGGGTATTTGAACTAAAAAGTTTTAGAATCGCAGCTCTAGTATATATTTCACTGTTATCCTGGAGACTATTTCACAGGTCCAACCAGCCCACTTAACGTTCTTAACATAACCTTTTTACTTAAGTTTTGGATCTTACTAACTAATTCCTGCACTCCTGAAATTGCCATGCATTTATTTCTGACCATAATTTCCTGAAAACGTTATTTATACTTTTTAAGTATCTCTCCTGATTTATAATTTCCAGTATTATTCGCTTTCAATGACAAGGGACTTGTTGGTCCATCTACTAACCTAAAATGATATATATATAAACTTAAATGTGGACCTTACATTTAATACTTATCAAGCCTTCCCATATTTTACTGCTTCCACCACATTTGAAGGAAGCCCATCCCAAAGTCTGACCACCCTGTTAATAAAATAAAACTCTCTCAGCTGAAGATGACTCCTACCCTGTCAATATTTATACCCATGTCCCATAGTCCTGTCATTTTCAACATTAAGTACAAAAAAAGTACAATTTAGCCTTTTTTATAATGTAACAATAAGCTGAAATGCAAGTTAAGTAAATGAACACGAATTAAACCTTCTAATAGTTGCAAAGCTTTCATGAAAACAGCTTTGAGGAAAGTTGCTCTATTAAAAAGATAGAGAGGAGATATCAAAGCAGGAAATAGATAGAGTTAGGGTAAAAGATGAGAATAAGAATGCTGGGTTGACAATGGTGTACAGTAGTAAAAAAGTTTGGATTATAGGGATGGGTTGAGTTAATATTCAGGCACCAGTGTCTAAATAGATTTGAACCTAGAACTGCTTGCAATGAGGAAAAAAGGAGATAATTAAGAGGTTTGATAGTGAGGGATTCTCTCATTAAGCATACTGATCAAGTGATTTTAAGTGAGGACCACATAAAGACTAGGATTAGAATGTGCTTGTCAAGTGTTAAGTATGGGACATTATAAAGCATGATGACAGGATGTTAGCACCAAGGACCAATCTCTTTTTTCTAATGCATACCTTAAATGTTATGTTAACTTTCTGAGCATTCTGAAAATCACAATCAAGCCCACAATTCTGAAGCAACTCATTTCTGGCACCTATCACACCCTATACAGAATAAATAATAAAATGATACACGAAAAATACATAGTATATTCATGTACCACACTACTAGTAGTAATAACTTTATGAAATGTTAAATAATATTTACATTTTTGAACAAAACCTAAGGCTTTAATTGATTTAAATAAAACTAGGTTTGGTTTGTTAAATATAACATGGCTTGTCTAATATAGCAAAACAATGAGGACTTTCTAAAAAGAAAAATTGGTGTCTCGTAGTCACTGACATCAATGCTTCTGTTCCTCATAATGAGTCTATCATTTTGTAGTTGATAAAATATTTATAAAACAAGTATGTTCAGTTAAATCATCTTAGAGTAATATTAATTGGTCAACTTATCTCTCTCTTTCTGGACTCTCCCTGAAATGGGGAAAATAAACGGCTCACCTTTATGAAAATCCAAAATGTAAAAAAAAAATTACCTTAAAGTACATAGGAATTTCATGTTTAAATATAGTATTTTCACATTCAGTTACTAGAATGGAAAAAAATAAATTTTTTTGGTAGTCAGTGACCTGTGTTTGAGATTTACTGTAATGAAATGTACTATGCAGATGGTTTTCACGAACTCGGTTTTACTTAAATTATAAAATGTATTATTTTGAACCTTTTGTTGTGTTTTCTGAAGTGGAACTGGGGTTTGGCGTTTGATCAGAAAAACCTGTTAATTACAGTTGGATATTTTATTTAGTATTCATTTTTTGTTTTTTTTGTAACTGCTTACATTGAATTTTACTTAAATTAAAGCAACATACAGAGGCTTAAAAGATAGTTTTGAAAATGTCGGCTAATGTAAGGATATTAATGGTATTTAATACGTTTTTTGATTAGTCAAAAAATATGTGATCATTTGACTCATCATATAACATTATTTGATCAGTCAATTTACTGCTTTGTCAACCCTGAATCACAGATACAAAAGAGTAAGTTATGTTTATCACGATTGGTTTTATTTAAAAATACATAAGCTCTATGGCTGTTTTTTTATAAAACTAAATTTTACACAAATATATGAAAATTCGAATCAACTTACTTGTCATACTGGTATTTTTTCTAAGTCTTGTGTCAGACTTACTGCATGTAAAAAAAAATGCTCTTTTGGGCAGTATCTCTGCAGATGTTACAGGAAACTGTGAATAAGCAAAGGCTATGTTTCAAACATGACTGCTTTGGTTCCTTGTGATTGCCAGGGTTATATTTTTGGTTTTTGCTGTTTGTATGCTTTTATTTTGTGTCCTATTGGCTTTACTGATTGTGCTTTTTTTTTTTTTTCTCTCTGACTGGATATCATGGTTGTCAACCGGTTTTCAGAAAGGTTACCCTAATTGAGATACTAGTAGTCTAGTAGACTTGGAACATATCGATATGTATTGCTTCTATATAGAAATTAGTTTCTGGCAATCAGAGTATTGGCAATCATATGTAAGCTGATTTTCATTTGCTGGTTTGAAATAAAGCAGTCTCCATTACTGGTACACCATGTGCATTTGAAAGAAAAAAATTAGGAATTTAAACTTAAAACTAATGTGTTTTCTAACACTTTGGCAAACTAGCCATAACTTAAGTTTAGCCACAAAGAAAATATTTTTTATGGACAGCAGCTATTAGAAACGTAATGTAGCTACTTAAAACTTTGAAAAATGTTTAATACATGGATACATATTTTTATTTTTTAATAGAGTGATAAGTAGTATTTAATTACAATACAAATTACATATAAAAATTAAGTGAACTCGTGATACATATTTTGGGTAGTGACGACAATGCAGAAAAAGAAGACTTATTATTATTCAATAATTTTTGCAGGATGGAAGAAGCTTTATCATCTCCAACCAGGCAAAGTTTGCAAAAGATTTGTTACCAAAGTATTTTAAACATAATAATATGTCAAGCTTTGTAAGACAGCTGAATTTGTGTAAGTAAACATAAATGTTTATTTCTGGTATAGGTATGCATTTCAGGATTTTATATCTAAAAAATGTTAGTATTGGTTTTTATGTTTTTTATTTAAAGTGAACTGTTTTTTTATTATTAATTTTAAAAGAAATATTAAGTTATTTAAAATATGGAAGTTACATGTAGTTTTTCATAGAATATTTTTCTTTGTTTTAATTTCACCAGACAGTTAACGTGTACAGTATGTGAAATAATTATGTGATTGGTCACTATTATTATTTTGTGGTTAAAACTGTTGGCCAAACATGGTTTTATAGTGATAAAAATGTAGATATGACCAGTTTATAGATGAATGAATTTCTGAGAGTAATATGTGGTGACTTCTTGAATGTTTTGAATGACAACTATGTATTTTATAACACATTCTGATTATAGACAATAAGTATTAGGTGTTTAACTCCTGATCATAGTCTGAATTATGCATGGTTTTATGTACAACAACAATCACCAATCTGAGTTTGGACAGAAAGAAGAGACTAATTTTGTAAAAATAAAAACCACTAGTTGCAAAACATTGGCAGTGAATATTTTTTGCTTGTATCCTTTCCACTTTCCGTTCTATAGGTACCAATAACTTAATGGATGCTGCTAGTCAGATTTTTACCTTTTAAAATCTGTAATTTTTGGTCTCTCTACCTAGAGCTGAGATATTTAATTAGTTACCTCTAAGCAGTGATTGCATCAATTAGTGTCACACAAACTAACTGATTTATTTGAAGTCAGTGTTTCTGTTTATCATAACAACTGATTAATCTCAACTACCATTACATTGATTGTCATGAAAATAATCAATTACTAGAAGTTATGGTTTGGAATAACAATTTTTGATTATTTCAACCATTCAGTTAACTCAAATATTGTTATTATGTTTGTTTTTAAGCACAAACCTACACATTAGACTATCTGTGCTCTTCCCAATTTTAGCCTTATAAGTAGTTTTACTTCAAGCTCGTTCACCTTTGGTGAATCGAGGATGTGAAGTTCAATTCCCATCCCTCCCTCAATTTGTTTAACAGAACTACTAAGGCTATTTGCTACCTTCACTAATTACTGACTGTTGATTGTAGGGAAGGCAACTGGCTGGCAGGACTCTCAGTCAACATTTTATTTTTTGAACTGTTGACCAGAGATAAAGCAACTGCCTGGCAGAACTCATCACAGGCCTTGATTCTTTGGATGTACCATTGTATTAATCAATTAATCAAGTTTTGTTGACTAATATGGGTGTAACTTGATTAGCAAATACTATTAATTGCCCAGACCAACTTTACTAACAACTGTTGTAACAAAAGTTTTTAAACGTCAGCTGTCCACTCTGAAATGAAACATCAATGGTGCAATGAAGTTTTTCTATATTATATTAGGGAAGTATACATTTTATGTAAACATTCATGCTTTGTAAACCCATTCATCCACTCTAATCATTACCAAAGCTTTTACGGTTTTCCTGTGTGCACTGTAAATAAAAGGTTTTGTTAATACACTCCTTTGACTAACTGAAAACTGAAATTTTACTGAAAGTGTAATTTGATAGAAAATAGTTACATAGGAGAAGGGTTCAGGATCATAACTTTTTTTATCTGTATTCTCTCTTTAGAAACTAAGTTTCAACGTATAGATGAGAATTTGCTGTATATAGACAGATGTAGAAACAAAGAAATTAATTTTTTTTTACCTGGTATAAACATGTGTTGGACGTTATTACTTCAAACCTTTTTACTTTGTTTTGAGGTTTGAATAAAAACAATCACTTACTTCACTGATACTATCATAATGTGATTTTTGCATGAACTGGTGTGAAAATGAATTTGATTCATTTTTATGCTTCCATAAAGATTTTTGTTTTTTCACACCTGTTATAAGCTGTCAACACACAGAGATTTATGTTTTTTCACACCTGTTATAAGCTGTCACATAAAAAAACATTTCACACCTGCTGTAAGTTGTCACATAAAGATTTGTTTTTCACACGTGTTATAAGCTGTCAACACATAAAGACTTGTGTTTTTTCACACCTGTTATAAGTTCTCAACACATAAAGATTTGTGTTTTTCACAGCTGTTATAAGCTGTCACATAAAAAAAATTTCACACCTGCTGTAAGTTGTCACATAAAGATTTGTTTTTCACACCTGTTATATGCTGTCAAGATGTAACCTTGGTAAGTTTCAACATAGCCAAAATTGAGTAATGAAGAAAAATTAGTTAAGAGTTAAGAAGTGACAAAAAAAAGTAATTATTACTTTACCTAATCTAAAGTAAACAAAACTTAATACTATATTGCTCAAAAGAAATTTGTTGAAAGAACAGGAAAATTTTTTTGGAACTAGGAGTTTACTTATATCTTTATGACAGTGGTGGTTGATGTCATTCTAAGAACTTGTACTTCAAGTTAGTCCTAAGTATTCCCAGAAATAGATGCAGAAATACAAAATCTATTTAGTGTTAGAATAATCGTTATAGCTTATTGGAGGCAGTTGCAAGAAAGACTGTTATTTCATGTGTGAAAGAAGGACTAAGATGACTGATTAAAGAAAGACTGGTCATTTTGGAAACCCTGGAAGAGTTTGTGTGAAACGATATATCCATGAGAAGTTTAAGTGAAACTGTGAAACACTGGTGGTCTGCAATGGAAGGCAGCATTTTTATACTTCAGGGGTGGGAGATATTGCTAATTTGATGAAGAGGGAGCAGCATTGTGGTTCATCATGTAATATCCAGTTTACAGTGTTGAATGATCCAAAACATACTACCTTGCTAGACAAAAGAAATTATTCAATTTGCTGTAAGAAAAACAAACAGTGAAGTCTAACTTTTATATAACTGTATTGTTCAGTTTTCAATTTAATTTTTTTCTTTGGGATATAAAACTAAGAAATTTAATGTCCTTCATAACAGAAGAGCATTTTTAAATAAGAAAGAGTGGTCCAGATGAAAAGCATTTAGCCAAATAATAATTTTTCATTGTAGTGATTTTAATTTTATGTAGACTTTTTATTTATTGGTCTAATTTTTAACAAATATGACTAAAATATAAAAATTAAGAAGTTAAATGAAAAAGATGACAAACAAATTTCACCTCAAGTAATCCATCAGTTGACAGATGTTGTGTGATATAACCTGAATATTTTTTACCCTAAACTCTCCACACTCCCACTGGCTGATTTTTTTTTTTTTTGCTGTTCATGGTAGTTAGACTTGTTTCCAAGAGCAGTAAAACAATTAAATAAAAACAGATGTGTTGGCTAAATAATTGTAATTTTCTGCAGTCTTTCTAGAAAGAAAAAGGTAATTTAAAATTATTTTATATTTTATTTGTAGTAATTATAAGATCAGTTAAATGGACCCAGCTTGTATAGCATTAAAGTAGAGAAAATATACACAGTTTTACAAACACTATAACTTATAAAGTTCTTGAATTTTGAAAACTTTAAGATTAAAACAAATAATTTTATTCTTAATATGAAAATCACCTTGCACTCAGACTAGTCAAAGCTAGAGTCAGACTGACCAACTTCAGAGACAATTCTTTAGTAGAAATACTTTATTTAAAATTTTGATTTTTAGTTTACAACATTTCGGAAATGTTTACCTAATTCTTACAAAATTTCTTGAAGATCCACTAAAAGTAAATTTAGAATTATAGTAAACATTAATTCCAGTCACGTAGGGTTAATACTTGTTCTGTATTGATACTTTCATTATTCCACAGATGGGTTTAGAAAGAGATCAAACCTGGAACATGGTAGCATGCAGGGAGAAAATGATGTTTTGGAATTCTATCATTGCTTCTTTCTCAAGGATCAAGAAGGATTATTGGAAAAGATTAAAAGAAAGGTACGATATGCACCTAGAAAGATTACTTTGATTAATTAAGATCTTACATTTTTTTGCAGTGTTTTACTAACTAACAATTTTGAAGCTAATCACAAGAATGATTAGCATGCCAAAAAAATTTAGAGATCTTATCTCTGTACTAGTTATTTTGAAAACATCTGAGTAATATTTGAACTATTATAAGCTGAATCATACTTCAGAATGGGAAGATATTGGCACTGGCTCTAAACTTTCTGAGTAATAAATTTGTTGGGACAAAGCAAATACGAGGCCTGTGAGAAAAGTATCCGACCTTTGGCCGGGGAATAAAAACTGGCATACCTGGAGCGTTGGAAACCTAATCAACCTCAAAGTAGTCTCCTTGGGACTCCACACACTTCTCCCAGTGGTGCCGCCATTGTTGGAAGCATTCCGAGAAAGCCTCTTTCGAAATGAAGTTTAGCTCGACTGTCGTTGCAGCCATAATGTCCTCTCTTGTCTGAAATGGCCTCTTGTGTTTGGGGAACAGCCAGAAGTCGCAAGGAGCCATATCAGGAGAGTAAGGAGCCTGTTGAACCACAGGAGTCTGGTTTTTCGGCAACAAAGTCTGAATCAAGTGCGAGGAATGTGCTGGTGCATTTGTCGTGATGGAGGCGCCAATTTCCTG